GTGGACTCTACGGCAACACATCCTTGCTAAGCTCAGTCCCTTCCCCAAACTCCACACCCCATAGGCTCCACATTTCTAGGAATTTTCCAGCCCAGAGTTGGTAGCCCTGTGCAGTACAGGCCACCTCTGCCTTCCTGTTCCCACCTGCCCTGCTCATTAGGACTCCACTCTTCCTCACGAAACATCAAGAATCCCAAACCCTTCATCACATGGAGCTTACACCTTCTCCTGACAAGGCAAAATCTTGCTCTAAAGTCATCACAGGCCCTTCTCAACCCCTTCAGAAGTTGTCCAGGAGAGGGCCTTTGGGTAGCTGTTCCCTCCTCCTTTCCCTGCCTTTGAGGCCTTCATTTGATGTTTCCCAATACCAGTCAAAGCTCTTTCTCCCCCAATTATTTAAATTGATTTATACCTCTATTTGGTTTGGTTCATTTGCTATCCCATCCCATGCTTCATATTGCTGCTTTGAGAAGTGTTGGCCCCACTGGTGGACCTCCTGATGGCACTGGTATTTCTGGCCACTGTGTGACACAGAGTGTTGGACGGGATGGGCCTTTGGCCTGATCCAACATTGGCGTCTCTTATGTTCTTATGTTCTTATGTTGGCTTAAGTGGGTTTTTAGCTGTCATTTGTCCACGGTTTTGTTGCAGTGCCGGTTGGTTTGTCTTGATTTTTATACTGATTATATTGTTTGATTGGGCACTGCAGTGTATGCTATTAGGGAGACGAAGTAGAGACATGTAGAGCAGGAGTAGTCTGAACACACACAGGCCACAGCTGCTGGTAGGGCTGCCAACCTCCAGGGGATAGCTGGAGATCTCCCACTATTACAACTGATCTCCAGGTGACAGAGGTCAGCTCGCCTGGAGAAAATGGCTACTTGGAAGGTGGAGTCTATAGCATTACACCCCATTGAAGTCTCTCCCCTCCCCAAACCCTGCCCTTTCCAGGCTCCACCCCCAGATATCTCCCAACCCAGAGCTGGCAACCCTAGCTGCTGAATATCCCATAGGCAAAAAGACTAGCCTGATGAATTGCTATATGCCCACTGCAGGGAAATTCTAACATTGTATATGATGCTATAGACTTACACAGTGAGCTGCAAAACTGGTATGGGGTGGGGCAAGCTGTTGAAAGTGCCAAGTGCCATAAAGCCCTATATGGCCTGGGTCCGACCTACCAGAGGGACCGCCTTTCCCCGTATATACCCCCAAGAGCACTTCGGTCGGGGACCCAGAACCGTTTGGTGATCCCGGGTCCCCAAGAAGTAAAGTTTGCTGCTACAGGGGCGAGATCTTTCTCAGTGGTGGCCCCTACCTGGTGGAATGAGCTCCCGGAGGAGATCAGGGCCCTGCGGGACCTTATGCAGTTCCGCAGGGCCTGCAAGACGGAGCTCTTCCACCAGGCTTTCATGTAGGGGCCGCCACTGCCACCACTACCACCAACGGTGGCAATACCATCAAGATCGGAAATTGCCCTGGTAGCCCAACAGCAAGGAGAACTGCGCTGGAATGAGAACATCGGGCTGGCTCGAACCACCTATTGACAGTGGCACCAAATGGGGCTGCTGGAAGACATAACAACTGAGACCATCTTGACAATGCAAGCACTTATTGTGAATAGTGAATAGTAATGTTGAAGCATTTTTATTGTTATTTATCGTTATTACTATTATTGTTATATTGTGATTTTACTGTTTTATTGGTTTTATGCTGGGCGTTTGCCCCCTGTAAGCCGCCCTGAGCCCGCTTGCGGGGAGGGCGGGGTAAAAATGCTTTAAATAAATAAATAAATAAATAAATAAATAAATAAAGGAGAGAAAGCTGATTGGAGCTCCTGAACATTCCGTGGCTCAAGCAGCAAACGGTTTTGCTAGTGGAAAGAGAAGCTGACCAGACATTTTGGTTGCCTCAGAAAGGTACTTGGGGAGCAGGACTAAGCAGGTCTACTCAGAAGGAAGTCCCATTTTATTCAGTGGGACTTACTGCCAGGAGAGTGCATTCTTAGGACTGCAGCCTTGGTGACTCATTTAAACTGAGGCACAGTGTTCATTTGCTCTGTGCTTAGATTTTAGTTTCATTGTATCCTATGTGTCTACGTGTCAACACATATATAAAACAAAATTTTAATTGGCCTAAGCCTTTAATAGCTGGAGTGAGTGGTTTTCTGAGGAATCTCTCACCAGCCCTGTAAACCTGGCGTATGTGTTGTACCTAGAGAGAGAGAGAGCAGCATTGGGTACACTCACTGTCCTCAGCCCACAGGTTTAGCCCTCATGGAAAGAATGCCCTGGCACATACTGCTGATTGTATCCATGTAAGCTAAGTCCGCATGCTCAGGTGTGCTGCTTTTTGGATGTTTTCCATCTCGGCGAACAAGCTTACTTACGTACAGTTGGAGCAATTAAAGTTGACCTGGCTAGTGACAGCATATACATATTAGCATATATTCTACCACAGAGTGGTGGAAGTTCCTCTTGTTTGAAAAGCCTTCCTCCAGTCTAGCATCCTCTACTGGTGAGAGATTGGTCATCTAATTTGGAGGAAAGCTCCTTAGACTAGGGGAAGGCTTCAAACTTTGCTCAATGAGTGGTAGGATCCATGCCATTGTAACTGGTGTTAAGGGCACTGGTGTAACTGGTGTGGTGGAAGCCACTGTACCCTGTTCTTCATGTAGGAAGAGCAGGATTGTACCGCATGTCATTTATTGTTGTCCATAACACATACTGGCTCCCAGTTGATGAAAATAGACTTTGTTCCCTTAAAATAGACTCTGGCCCCGGTCACACAGGAGGTTTTGGCCCGGAAGACGGACGGATCGGGGGCGCAGCAAACGGGCACGATCAAACCGCAACATCTGGGAAGCGGTGCGCACCCGTCCCCGATCCGTCCCTTCAGCCGGAAAACCCGCTGCAAAAAAGAACCTGCAAAAGAGCAGGACTTACCGGAAATGGTGCAGCAAGTGCGGCCATGAGATCACCGGTGCACCCGTCTTCCGGAGCAATCGAGGCTCCCGACCAAACTGCGCATGCGCACACATGCGCAGTTCGGCTGCCTTGCTCTCCCTTCAGTGGCTTCCCCCCGGCATCTGATCATGCCGGGGAGGAACTGTGCGGTGTCTCAGGGGATCTATCTGATCCTGCCGCCGCGTGTCTCTTTTGGTGCGGCTCTAAAAAGCCACACTGGCCGTTCTTTTCTCCCCCGTGTGGCAGGGGCCTCTGTTCCCTTAAAATGAATTCAGATTATTAGAGTTTATCCTGTAGCGACTGAAAATTATTGATTTAATTACCCGGTATTTCCTGAGCTTCAGGTTGATCTTTCCACCAGCCCTAATTAATGCTTTGCAATCTAGTATTGACCTCATGTGTTCTGCTGCACACTGTTCTTTAGTTAGTCACTTTTTATTGTGACAAGAGGTAACTGTAACAGCACCAGGACCTTTTTGCTGCCTGAACTCCTACAGCCCATTCATACTTTTAATTGTATTTCGAAGTTCTGCCATCAAAGGTCATGTCCCTAGATGTGCCACTTTTCTTATTCAGTTGCAGAGCTGTTCTTGATGAGACCAGTGTGTAGTTTAAAATAATAATGTTGCCATAGGGCATTTGGGTTTGAATTATTCTTTTGCCAACTCCCATTCTTACACAAAGAAGAGGAGGTTGAGGGGGGACATGTTTGATCTATTTAAGTATTTGAAAGTCTGTCAGAGGAGGGCAGGAAGCTGTTCCTGTTGGCAGCATAGGATAGGACTCGTGATAATGGGTTTAAATTACGGGTGGAAAGGTACCGGCAGAATATTAGGAGGAGGAAATTCTAGTAAGAGTAGTTCAGCAGTGCAATTGGCTGCCTAAAGAAGTGGTGAGCTCCCCCTTGTTGGCAGTCTTCAAGCAGTGGCAGGATGAACACTTTCAAGTGGGTATCCGTGTTGGTCTGAAGCTGCAGAACAAAGTCTGAACACTTGTGATGGATGATCCTGATTCGAACGGGGGTTGGACTAGATGCGTTGTATGGCCCTTTCCAGTTCTATGATTCTAGGATTCTACAGACTATTGCTGTTCACTGCACCAATTGTACAGTCCACCAAAGGAAAATGTTACTAGAATGTATACCAGTTTTGGAACTTCTGTAACTGAAAAAGAATGACAAGACATACTGAGTCAGGAAATGATTTTGTTACTGGGAAATTTTTTGTACTATTCATTTTAGTTATGGACATGCATATTCTGTACATCTACACATCTGTGATCACCTAACGTAATCATAGAAGTCTGGTATTCAGCATCCTGACAAATCTCTCATAATTTAAAATCTGTCTTTGTGCCCATGGAGGTTTTTTTAAAAAACATGGGGACATTCTCAGTAAAAGAAAGTAAAACTTCTATTCTATGCAGTTGGCTCCAATACATTTCATAGTTAGTTACCCTTCTGAAATGGCTAACAAAAGCAAAACAAACTGTGCAATGTAAGAAAATGTATGCAAATTTGGCGTATTTGCATAATTTCCCATATTACAGATTTGATTCTGTGTGGTTGGGAGGGGGGGAATATGGAATTATTTTCTTGACCATGAATCTAAATGCCTCAATCTGCATAATTCTGGGGAGAATTAATGTTTTAATTAGTGTTTTAGCTGACTTGTAATTCTTGCTTTTAATTCTGCTGCTATCATCATCATCGTTATTTTAGGCTGTTTAATTGCTGCATGGCTGTTTTTTTAGTACTCCGCTGGAAATTATAGGATACTTTTAGTAGATGGCATATTATTTTATTATGGTTTCATATTCGATTTTGCAGACCACCTTGAGAATCCGTGGTTGTGAGGTGGTCTGTAGCTCTTTGAAATAATAATAATAATAATAATAATAATAATAATAATAATAAAATAATAATCTTTGAAATAATAATAATAATAATAATAATAATAATAATAATAATAATAATAATAATAATAATAATAAATATTATATGAGGGGTTTTTTTGTATCCTTACTGTTTTTCAGATAAGCAAACAGCAGCTCCAGACTGTCAAGGATCGTTTTCAAGCTTTCCTCAATGGAGAAACGCAGATTGTCGCCGACGAAGCTTTCATGAATGCAGTCCAGAGTTATTATGATGTAAGAAAATATGGGTACCCATTCCTAGTTATGGAAGGAGAACCTGCCGCTGGGCATGAAACATAAATGTTTGACGAAAGATTAACTTAGTACTAAAATAGCTCATAGGCAAAGACTAAGACTGTTATCATTCAGCTGATTGTAAGGCTGTTGTCCTTAGAATGCTTATTCAAAAGTCCTATTGACTTACTTCTGAGCACACAAGCGTATGATTGGGGTGGAAGAGTCTTCTAAGGGATACACTAAATGGAGGACCTAAGAGCAGATTGTATTGCTGAATAGAACCTGGGGATTCAAACTAGGGCTGCAGTGTAGGTGAGAATGGTCTGGCTGTTTCTGTCCACATTGTTTGCCCTGATGAAAGAACTCTTATCTATTTCCTCCACTGGGGCAAATGTCAACTCAGGAAAACAGCCTGGAAGGATTCCCACACCAGAGCCCCACTCTGAATATCCCTCCTACACGGCTGCTGTGTATGGCGATCTGGTCAAGCATCTCATGAATGTGGACCCTAAGAAACAGTAGCTTTTAGTGAATATTAAGGGTAAAATGTCATATCTGATCTCTTACAGGAAAGAGTCAATTTGTATGGGAATTCAGCTTGTCCCTTCTCTATTCTAAACTGGGAAAGCATTATCAGCACTTCAAAGCCACTTATAAAACATAATGGGCATGACAGGCAAAGTACAAAGTAGATCAATGGATAATTTATACTGTAAGCAATATTTTGCTAATTTAATGCAGTTTTAACATTCCTTTGGTTTCCTGTGCTCAGAAATTCCATTTGCATTATGCTAAGTAAGTAATAAAATTATAAGTATAGTCAAGAAAAGAATTTCAAAATGACATGATTATTTTTTCTTAAAATTCCCAAGTTTTGAGACATATAACTTAAACCAGAACTCATGTGTTACTTTTCCTTCACCACTACTTTTTTTTTTTTTGCTTTTTCTAATTTATAGATATTCTGAATTCAATCATTTTACTGTAGTTTTTATTTTGGAAGCCATAGATAGCAGATAATATCCTGTTTACAATACTATTACTCACTTATCTTCAAAAGCAGTACATTTTAAAAAATTACTAAAATTCTTACCCAAAGTCCACTGACTATTGCACTGTTTGTCACTGTAGTCACTGTCTTGTAGGTCACAGAAGACTTCTTCCCTAGCATTGTTGCTGGCTTGGACCAAGGCAAACATCTGTTTGCACCCCTGTCAGGGATAGAGGCACTTGTAGCAAGCACTGTCACAGTCTTCTCTCTATAAAATGTGTACACAGCAGTCAGTAGCACAAAAGAGAGATAGGCAGACATCATTAGGGCCAAACCTTAGTATTCATAAGGTGGAAAATGTAACATCTCTCAGTGTTCTTAATTTTCCTTAAAAACTGCTGGGAGACCTGGTGTAGTGTAGTGGTTAGGATGTTGGACCTGGAACAACCAGCTTTGAGTCTCCAGTCTGCTGCAAAAGGTCACAAGGAAACCTTGGGTCCCTCATAGTTCCTCAGCCTAACCCCCCTCACAGGGTTGTTGTTATGAGGATAAAGTGGAGGAGGGGGAAATGATGTGGTTAGCCTCTTGAGTTCTGATTATGGAGAAAAGTGGGATAAAAAATTTAATACCGACATTGAATGCCTATTGATAGGGGAAATATACAGGTGACTTCTAATAATAGGGGAAATATACAGGTGACGTCTGCATTATTGTATATATAGGAGCTCTGAGGGGCCATTTGAGGTTTAAAAAATGCCCCATTCTGTACATCACCCCCAATCAGAATTGCCTACCCCCCACCAGTTGCTAGTTATGCATGCAAACTGGTCTGTAGATCCATTCATTGATCTCCCAACAACTGATCTACCTGGTACTAAATTTCAATCTGATTTAGTTGCAAGTAATTTTAGTTGGGTGGCAGTGGAAGTGTTCAAGACCTGAAACTTACATCACAGTTTGTGGGAGTGACATCATGATGGTTTCTGTGCTTCTTGGATTCAGGAAGGTCAAGAAATATACATTTTATCAAGCATATGTAGTTCCTGGACTCTGGGGAGGAAAGTATTTTTATTTGAGCCATAGAGCCCTTTTAGCTTTTTGGGGCAGCAGCATTTTGGGGTGCTTCTGAATAGGGCAGCAAGACACCCTGATTCAATTCAATCATCATGACCCCATCTGTGTGTCAGGGTGGGGACCGCAGGAACCCCCTGACTTGTACCAAGGAATGGTCAGAGGAGTTCCAGGGTGGCCCGACAGCCAGCAGGCAGTCCTCTCCGAGGCTTCAGGGAGGGTCCAGGCATCTTGCCCCATCGGCCATGGAAGGGTGGGCCGTCCCAAAGAGGAGGCTACCGGGGGCACCCAGGAAGTTGGGCTCGCCGGCAAGGAAGTGACAGAGAACAAGAGGGGTGGTCTCAGTTCACATTCGGGCCAAACCATTCCTCTTTCCCCTTTTTCTTGGGAGGTTCTTAAGATTGGGTGGGAGCACCTGGTCGGAGGAGTGGGGTGAATAAAGGTGGAGTGCTGGGAAACCAGGGAGGGTTGCAGACACCTGGGCAGGAAGCGCTGTGAGGGAGACGTGGGCAGCAGCCCAATCCACCCAAGACACTGACCAGGGACGCTGTTGGGGGAAGGATATCTTACCTGACAACATCTGAGGTGACCACGCTGGCAACGTATTCCTCTGTGCTCCACTAGTGCTCTCACCCGATCGCTAAAACGAACCCCGCGAAGTCTGACACTGTGCATACTTAAATCCGGAGACCTGAGCCATGAACAGACAAGACAGATGTTTCCACATAGCTGAGAAAAGTCTCAGGTTTGTAGAAAAATCGGAAACTTAAAAAAAACCACTGGAGATTAACAACCCCCCCCCAAAAAAAAAATAGGAGTAGCACCTGTAGCTTTAAGAAATGAATGCCCTCAGTGGCCATTGCTAGGCAATGACAACAATTTTATCAGCCTTCCAGGTTTGGTTTCTGTCAGTAAAAGACAGGAGAGAGGTAGAGCCCTTTCCAGGACTGTTTTGACCTTTGAGGGGCCAGGCTGGGCAGCAACCACCAAATTATTTACTACTAGGGTTGCCAGATCCCCTTGTCACTCCAGTGGGGGAATTTGGGGGGTGTTCTGGAGTGGGCGGGGGCCCCAAGCCCCACCCCCAAGAGTAACCACCTGCGGCCACCCCTGTCCCTCCCTTCCTGCCAGATTTAAAGAAGAAGGAGAGATTGGATTTATACCATGGCCTTTACTACCCAAAGGAGTCTCAGAATGGCTTACAATCTCCTTTCCCTTCCCCTCCCCACAAAAAACATCCTGTGAGGTAGGTGGGGCTGAGAGAGCTCTTCTGAGAACTGCTCTTGAGAGATCAACCCTGAGAGAGCCATGACTGACCCAAGGTCACACCAGCAGTTGAATGTGGAGAAGTGGGGAATCAAACCCAGTTCTCCCAGATTAGAGTCCGTGCTCCTAACCACTACACCAAACTGGCTCTCTTAAAGGGCTTTAGCTGATCAGCAGGGAGCCCATGGCCCACCATTCAGCTGGAGGGCCCTTTAAATTTTTCAGGAGGGAGAGGGGCTGTCGCCAACCCCACGCTCCCTTGCAAAAAGACCCTTTAAAGGGTCTTTTTGCGAGCAGGGTAGGAGCTGCAGTGCAAGGGACTTATTTTCCAGTGGCAAAGGAGAGGGGTGGCCACAGGGGGTCACTCCTGGGGGTGGGGTCATGTGAATCAGGAGTCTGCAGTGGGAACAAAATCACTTTCTTCCTCCTCTTGATGTCAGCAGTGCTATACTGATGGAAGAGGCAGAAAGGGCTATTTCATCCTCTTCCTCCTCCTCCTCATTGTAACTTCCCAGCCTCTGTGCCTATTAACTTCATATTGGGAAGGGAACACAGGAAAGATCCACAACTGTTAACACCTTCGACTGACAGATCACAGGATCCAAACAACTGCCTGAAAGTATGTCAGATCTTGAGAAGCACCTTGTACGCCCGGCAGCTGAAGCACGCGAGCCCTTGAGTTGGCGGCACTGCGGCATCTCCTCCGCGGAGCCGACTGGGCCACTCCGGCTTCCCTGCCCAGGGCTGCAACTCCGAGAGGTGCAGCAGTGCTCAACCCACACGCGGCGCTCCCGCGGGATGGGGGCGTGGAGTGGGGGGAGCCACACAGGCCAAGAGGCGACCCCGGGCCACGTGCGAGCGAGCCAGCCCTGCCAGCGGGCCGGATAAATGTTTTCGTCGGGCCGCATGTGGCCCGCGGGCCGTAGTTTGAGGACCCCTGGTCTAGCTCATGGCTCCCAATTGACTAATAGTGCAATCTGTAGGCCACGTTCCTGGATTAAGGACCCATTGACTAGACCTACTTAAGACTACACTGTAACTATTGCAATAGTTAATTCTTCATATTTTTGAGAACAATTCTTAAAACATGAAGCCTGGATTTCCAGAGACACAAGCGAATCTTTCGTTCCGTACTGTTTGTCACCTAAAGGCTCCAGTCCTCACGACATTTCCTTTGAAATAATTCAATGAATAAGAAATTAGTAATAAAAGAATAAATAAATAAATAACTGAAACTACTCTAGTGAATAGTTAGAGGATTATGGCACAGAAATATTAACTAAAGTTTCCACTCCGTAAACTAATTTTGGATCAGGGATTTGTTTCTTTTTCCAAGTGACTAACTAACTTGACAGATAATAAAAAAACTAATATGGAACTAGGGAAGTATGCATCCAGCAATACTCCATCATTAAAGTATTCTATGTCGTTTTTCTCATTTCAGAGGTCATAAATTTCAATTAGGAAATGTTATTTTCCTATTATGTCTTTGTTAAAAGAATCAATATTTTGGCAGTTAATTAGGTTTAGAAAAGAAGTCTTCTGTGTACTAATTAATTTGTGGGACTGATCATCACGACATCCATAAATGTTTACAAGTTGTCAGATCACTCACTTGACATCTTTATATGTTGGCTGAGCTCACCACTCAAGAGTAAAGGGACCACAT